GGCAGCGACCACAGCTCCCAGTCAGTCCTGTGACCATGAGGCGAAGCCGCTGACACTCTCTAGCTGCTGTGCCTCGGGGCTGTGAGCTTCAGTATGGGGGTGGGAGAAATGCATTTTTAATTTATGGTATTTTCAGCTTGCAAAGGGTTCAGCAGAACATGATTCCATGGCAGGAAGGGGACATCTGGACTGTAGTTTTATAAGATTTTACCAGAAAGCACATAGAATCTCTGCATTATTTCTTTTATCTGAATGTGAGTCTATAATTATCCCCAAATAACAGAACCAGTTCCAAAAATAAGATACAAATATTTGTAGGAAATTTGGGAAATTATCAGTACTGACTAACTAGAGTCAGAGTGATGGTGGTGTCATCATGTTTTTGTTTCAGAAGATATTATTTGTTACCAAGTAAGGATTTGCTGCCCAACACAATAAGAACCAACACTATGACACTGGGGTTTGCAAGAAGAAAACGCTTTATTGTCCCTGAGCAGCCAAGAGGACAGGAGGCTTGCTCAGGTCTGTGTTCCCTATTGGTCAGTACCAAGGAACGGGCCCAGGCCTTGGGGAACAGGAGGGCTGGCTGGCTGCACAGGAGTCTTGGTGGAAGAGTCTCCTCAGTGCACCCAGAGCCCTGGGCGGGGTGTGTAATTCCAGTCGGCCTGCCGCTGCAGAGGCACCTGCCTTCTCATCTGTCCTTCCTCAGCTTCTGCTCAGCCTCAGAGGTGTTTGGTGCAGGCAGGCTCCCCAGGTGTTTTAGGTGAGGTCCTCAGGCCCAGCACCTGCATTCTTAAAACAACTTGAACAGATTTTGGGAACAGAGGACTTGCCATTTCATGCCTTGGTTTGACATTCTTAAAAGATCCAAACAAAAATATTTCAGATGAAATGACACATTTGGAATTTGCTGCAGCGGAACCCAGGGTGAGCGAGAAGCAGGCAGGGCTGGCTGCCTGCAAGCAGATAACTGTCAAAGGCGGGAGACAGATGCGAAGGTTTGGGACACTGAGTCTACACGAGCTCAGCCCGCAAGCAACTGGGGGAGGCAGGCGGTGAGTACTGGAGGAGAGACCCCAAGGGAGTTGCTACCCTGTTACTTACTAGTTATGTGACTTTTGGCAAGGTGTCGAACTCTTTCCCTGGGGCAAACACCTTACAGGACAACTGTGTGGGCAAAGGAAGTTCAAGGAAGAGTGTAGGTGAGCATAGAGAGGTTCTCGGGTAATTTTGCCCATGAAAGGGGAAAGGAAGTGAGCCAGCAGGAGCTGAGGCACAGCTGCAGGTGGGTTAGGTTCCATCAGACAGCATCGTAGAATCCAGAAGGAGAGCTTAGAGATAAGGCAGATGATACCTGAGGAGGAGCCATTAGATTAGGTTTGCAGGATGTTGCTGGTACTGACGGTGGCTTCTGCTGAGCGGAGAGGATGGGCCCAGGTTTAGTGCTGGGGAGTATTGGGAGACAGGAAGGGAGATCCTTGACTGGAGCCCACAGCCTCAGAGAAGGGCTGTCCAGTGAGGCTGGAGAGCAGAAGGGAATGGAAGAAGTGTTTGGAGGTCAGAGGCTGCTGACCGCACTGGCCACGGTGAAGGGTGTTACAGTGAACACAGGTGTGCAGACAGATGACTCTCTGAGATGCTGTTTGCAACTCGCTTGGGTGTACACTCACACGGCTCACTGCCGGATTATATAGCAGATGCTTTTAATGTTTGGAGGAACCTACTTGGTGTCTTTTGTGTGTGTGGGTGGTGGTGGGGATCCAACCCAGGGCCTTGTGCATGCCAGGGAAGAATCTACCCCTGAGCCACAGTCTCAGCCCATACTTTGAGCCTTTTTTATTGAGCTGCGCCATTTTATATTCCCACCATAAGGGTTTCAATTTCTTCACATTCATGCCAGTATTTGTTATTGTTAGGAACAAAGAAAAGGAAATCAAACTCTGCAGAAGAGGTCAGGCCTCTGTAGAACAAACCCGAGAGGGACAGCGGGTGAGGGCCAGGGCTATGCCTCTCTTCTGGGCTGAGGGGCTTCTGTGGTTTGCAGGAGGGAACCGCTGCTGTCTTGGAACAGGGCTGTGCTCTGCTCTGTGGTCCGTGATCACTGGGCTGTGGTGTCTGTGTGTATTTTCTCCCCAGCTGAGACACTCCCTCTTTAACTCACTCAAAAGCTTGGGGCTTGGCCTAGCTGACCTCCCATCAAGACAGCAGTTTTCTAACTCCATTGGTTACTGATTGATTGGTTGACAGTGTTGGGAGTCTTCGGTGTGCTAGGGCAAAGATCCACTACTGAGCTATGTCCCTAACTCTGTTCATTGTAATTTTGACATAAATGAGTAAAAAAAAATGCAGTATATACACTTGATGGGCTAATACTCAACCCTAAAAAGGAAGGAAATTATGTCTTATCCCATGACGCGGATAAATGCGGTGGACACCATTCTCAGTGAAGTCAGTCAGACACAGAAGGACAGGCACTGCATCGTTCTTGTCACACATGGTGTCACAGGAGCAAAGAATACAGCAGTGGCATCCAGTGCTAGGGAGAGCATTGGGGAGGGAGGAGGTGCTACTCCTGAGCATAATGTGCTGGAGGCCACGTGCATGCCACGCCTGTAGCTAGGCACATGGCACTGGGTTGAGAGGGTAGACCTCATGCTGATTGTTATCACACACCTGAAAACAAAAGCCAGAGGGACACAAAGAAGATTTTGGAAGTGACAGAGAAGTTTACTACCTTGGGTGGGTGCTGGGATGCCAAGTATTTTTCTGAGTCAAATTTCATCCAATTAGAAACTTTGACCATGTGAGTGATAGAACTGGGGAGACCAGCGGCGGCTGAAAAGATAAGAAGTATGAAATATAGATGATCTCTATTTTGAGAATGCGGGGAGAAATACCCTGGATCCCCTGGGGCACGGCATCTCCCCTCGGGGTCGGCAATCTCTCTGTGGAACACGTGGAGTGGGGGCCTATATGTAGCTTAGGTTAGGGGTGGAACCTGAGGGGCATTAGGGATGCACAGGTAGCCCATTGGCACTAGTTTGGCACCAGAGGTAGATTCCTAGGGGTGGGGGAGATAGGAGCTCTTTGGCTTTACGGGCTACAGTATCCAGCCTGGGCCAAAACCCTTTCATATCCTGTCTTATGATTATTATTATGAAAAGGGGCAAAGATTTCTCTCTTTAACTACTTCCTGCTGGAAGAAGGCACCATACTGGGGTCTAGGGGAGTTGATGGGATGACGGTAGAAGCTGGTACCAATGTTTTAGCCAGGACAACTTCACTGGTGAATGCACGTATGTTAGACTGGAAAAACAAAGAGACAAGATATTATGAGGAGACATGGCACTGTCATATTTAAGGACCCAGGTGAGGTAGAAGGAAAGGTGCCTTTGATTTAGACATGTCATTATATCAGGACCATGTTGAGGTAGAAACATTTGCACTGTAAGGCAGAATTCTGAAACATAAATGTGGGGTTAGGAGGAGTGAAGTTATGAGAGGTGTTTACTGCCCCATCTGAAAGGGTAAAAGTTAAAAGGGTAGGTAGGTAAGGCTTGTCTCTGGTGTGGATGACATTGGAGTCTGTAGGAAATACTGTTAAGAGTCCTGCTGTAAAAATTATCATTAATAGAACGTAAGAAATTAGAAACCAAAGTGGGTAACAAAACATGACAACCTGTAAGTCGTGGCCGTGAGGCCTTGGTAAGGCAGAGATAAGTAGGAAAAGGACGGTCAGATCTAGGGCCTGAGTGATGCGAAACCAGAATGGCAGTCTAGCAACTCTGATCACTATTGAGGTTGCCAAGAATATCAGGTAGGTATGGGTCGCGGTAACCTGGTTGTAGTCCTTGCAGTGAGGATGTATATGTCAATTACATCTCAGTGCAGCCGAGAGGGGGCAAGAGAAAGAGGGGGAAGAGGAATAAAGGAAAAGAAAGAGGAGAGATGAGAGACAAGAGAGGAGAGGGAGAGGTACAAGCAGCCCGCGGTCCTGAGGGAGTCTCCAGCGGAGGTGGGAAGAATCCTCTGTCCGCAGACTGGGGGAGCACCAAGGCCGTCACCTACCGGTCCTCCTGGTGACAGACTTTGCCTGATGTCCTCCAAAAGCAAGGAATGTGATTGGAGAATCAGGAATTGTGAATTCTGACAAGGGATGATGAAACCGTTTTTCGTTAGTTTTTGGTTTGTATGGACTAACACTGAAGTATTCCTAGATGAAATGACAGTCTGAGATTTGCTTTACAGTGTGAAGAAAATGATGCTTTTTTCTGGAGAGGAATTCTGAAACAGGTCCCTTGGAACCAGCGTGCTACATCAAGCCCTCATGCGTGTCTGCTTCCCCTCAAGTGGCCCCTCATTAGGCACCCCGACGTGCACCCTGTGCTCATGCCCATCACCCCTGAGTGAACAGCTGCACTGACTCAGCCATGCCTACGCCGGGGCCTCTATGCCCCATCTGGGAGTCCCTGGGGAAGGAGCCCATCTGGGATGCAGAGCTGTGCGTGTGGCTCTGTCACTGTGGGCTCCTGAGGCCTCTGTGCCTGGCTTTGCTGTGGCTGTTGCTCTGTTTTAGTACATGGTTACTTGTGTCTTCCAAGGCCCCTGTGCCTGCGGCCTGGCTGGTGTGGTGACGCCCAGGGCGATGCTTGAAGAGGCGGAGCCTAGAGAGGTGCTCAGGTCAGGGATGCACTGCCCATGCCCTCCTCTGCTGGCACCAGAGCTGAGCAGACCCCAGTGCCACACTCGGAACGTCCAGAACCATGAGACAAATAAACCTCTGTGTCACTCAGCCTCAGGCATTTGGTTAAAGCAACACAGAGTGGACTAAAATAGCCAGATAAGACTCCTATCCTACCTCCAAACCAAAGCTGAATGGACCCCCAGCCCCTCCCACGCTCATTTGAGGAAGGATGTGAGAATCCTGCCGCAGCTCAGACACCTCTGCAGGAACCCCCCCAGCCCGGAAGGAACAGAAACCCACAGCACACAAGAAGGGGTAAGCAAGGGCCCAGCTTTATTGGGGTGGCCACACCCACACCTCTGTTCACAATGACTGACAAACAGGCTCGTGTATAATCGTGTCCCACTTCCGCACAGCACTATCTCCCTCCAGAAGACGTAAAAATATATTGCATAACAAACACTTTCCACTGTAACAGTATCGTGACCCTTCAGCGGTTTGTCAAGAGACAATGCAAAGCAATATTGACAAGACAGACCCTTTGAAAGTTCAAAATTTAGATGCTTGTGGTATACTTCTAAAACTAATATTGAATATTTTCCTAGGTAAGGAAGGCAGGTCATTATAAAAATACATAAATCCAAAGTCACAACTAAGATATTCAACCCTATAAAAATATATTTTACTAATAAAAGTATCAATTTTTAGATAACTGCTCTTTATCAACAACAGGTTATATAAAATTTGAAGACATACCCACTAGGTCAGACAGGCCATGCAGAGGGAACTTGCTAAGTGGCTTGGGGCTTAGTCATCACCAGGTGCTTTGTTTTCAGGGATGGACCATGTGTTTGCCTATGCTGCACAGGAATGGCACGTGTATGCTACAGAGTGAGCTCAGCTATCTACCTATTGTGAAAGTCACTTATAAAGATAAACTGTCCAGCCCACAAAAGGAATTTTCAGGTTATCTCTGCCCCCAGGGAACACAAACGCTTTCTCAGGAGTCACCCTGAAATGCCTAACTTGGAAAACCTGTGATTGCATTCTGACCACTATCTGAAATCAACTCATTCATTTCATTTTGTTTACTCTCCTTTAGGGCGTGGTTGGGGTGATTTCTTTGAGGCTGGGCTCTCCGGGACCTCCTGAAACATACTTTCAGCAGCAGGTAACACAACTCGGCCACATTGAGCAGCATGCAAATCACAGACGCAGAAATCATAAAAATGGTAAACACGGTTTTTTCGGTGGGCCTGGAAATGAAGCAGTCGACAAGATTGGGGCAGGGCTCAATGCCACACTTCAGCACCCAGGGCAAGTGGTACCCATTGTAGAGGAAGTAGAACACATACATGAAGGCGGCTTCGAAGACGATTCGGAAGAAGATGCTGCTGGTGTAGGTCCACCACAGAGCGCCCTCGATGTGCACCTTCTGCCTTTTAATGTCCTCCAAGTCTCGGAATTCGTTCTTCTTCTCCCCGCGCTGGAACTTGCGTGTGGTTTCATGTCTGTAGTAGGCCACGTGCATGGCCACCAGCAGTGCTGGGGTGGACACGAAGATGAGCTGCAGGGCCCACAGCCGGATGTGCGACACCGGGAAGAAGTGGTCATAGCACACATTCTTGCAGCCGGGTTGCAGAGTGTTGCAGACGAAGTCCTCTTGCTCGTCGCCCCACACTTCGTGGGCGGCCACCACGAGGATCATGACTCGGAAGATGAAGATGACGGTGATCCACACCTTCCCGATGCTGGTGGAGTGTTTGTTCACACCCCCGATGACAGTGTGCAGTGTCCCCCAATCCATGGTGCCGGTTTATCCCTAAGCACACAAAAAGGAGCGAGGTTAGGCCTTTGGCTGATAAAATGGTATCACAGGGACACTGCCGATCCAGGCACATCTGTTTTAGATTAGGCTGAGATTCTGTGCAGTGTAACCTCCCAGGCCACTAGTAGGAGGTTTTCTACTAAGGAAGGCTCATTCTGAATATTCTGTTGCTTTTGACCAGAAATAACTGTTTTGGGAGGAAAGTTTAAGATCATCTTGATCGAACTGACTTCTGGATGATTACAGGTTAGGTAGCTGTATTCCATTAACTGAGGACCACAGGTAAACAGATTTGTGTCTACGCTGTCTTGCAATCACTACATGAATATGTTACATATGCATGTTGGGCTGGCCCTACGCAAGGGCTCACAGAACTTCCACGGTAGTTTGTACTGATTCAATGGTTTATTAAGCCAACATAGTCACCCTTAGAACGACATCCTCTGACTTCCCTGGCACACGAAAAAGATTTTAAAGCCACTGGACAGAGAACAAGTCTCCTGCCCTGAGCGGAGCGGTCCAAATCCAGAGCAATGACTTCAGGAAAGCGAAAGTGCCCCGCGAGCTGAAACAACCCAAAACAAAAACAGACTCCAAAGCCACACACACATAAAAGTCAGGGTCTTAAAAACAACATAGCTGAGACGAAAGTGAAAAAGCAGCGGCTCATCCTTCAGTCACATGGTATAACTTTAACTGAGAACCAATAAAATACAGAAATTCTTTTTGGGGTGACGGCCTCACCCATGCTAGGCAAGGCTCCACCCCTAGACTATACCTCCAGCCCCTGCATTATCCAAAATAAACCTTTCTAAAGAAATGACTTCTCCAAGTACAACAGAGGTGTTGAGCCACAGCCTACACTGTGAGACCAACCGTAGTCTTCGTTCTCTAAAGAACTAAATGTTAGAGCTCAGAAAGTTTGCAAATGGGGCCAGCACCCCACCCCCATATTCTAGAAGCTTCATGGACTTTTCTAATACTAAAGTATTTTTTTAAAGTTTTATTGGGGGTAAAATAGGCCTAACATTTCCCCCCTTAACTAGTTTAAATGTCCAGTTAGTGGTGTTAAGTCATTTACCTTGCTGTGAGACACATCTGCAGTCTTTTCATGTTCCCAGTGAAAGTTCTGCACCTATTGGATAATAATTCTTCAGTCTGTCTTCCCCATCTGTTCACAGTCATCTGCCTGTTTTCTGTGCCTGTGATTTTACCACTCTAGGTATATCATACGTAATAAAATCAGAGGTCACCTTTTTGTGATTAGTTTTTGTTATTCATCATAAAGTCCTCAAGGTTCATTCATGTTCAAAACTTCCTTCCTTTTTAAGGCTATGTAATATTCCACCAAGTGGGTTTACTGCATTTTGCGTATCTGTTCAACCTGTCAGTGGACCCTTGCTTGTGTTACTTCCACCTTTTGGCTATTGTGAATAACACTGCTATGAAAAGACTTTATAAATATTTGAGATCCTACATTCATTTTTCATGTATTCAGAAATGGAATTTCTGAATCCTATGAGAATTCTATTTTCAACTTTTGAAAGATTTCCGTAGGCAGAATACTATTATTTGGAATCACAGAGTGCCTCAATGTCTAGAGAAAGACAAATACCCTGATCTCTAAAAGAAGACAAAGTCTATGTGTGTGAGCCGGAGAACTTTCTGTTCAATCCCTAGCAAAGTTCTAAAACTGCCCCATGGCATCTCTCTGAAAGTGCTGGGTAAAATAACCATGACACTGGCACGGTCAGTGGCCCGAGGGATCTGCAGTGGTGTGAACTGATGGGGGTCTGGGACCAGAGCCCCGCATCTCACTAGAGGAGCAGCAGGGGAAGAGGAGCTCTCTAGCGAAGGAGGCTGCGCTGTGGGGATCTGGATTTGTTTTAAAAGCTGAGAAAAATGACATCGGCTTTCTAGAGCTGTGGCTTCTCAGTCCTCCAAGCGTCTCCTGTCTCACCAAGGCTGGTGAGCTCTGTCGGGCTGCGCAGAGGGCGCTCACCGGGCAGCGGCCTCTGGAGGCGCTGGACTGCAGATCTATTTATCAAACCTTGCCATTCACATTCTACGCACTCCATGACCCAGAGACTCTCAATGCCCGCAGCAACGTACCGCTGAGTTTTAAAACTCATTTTAAATACTAATTATAAAATTAATTCTGAGTCCCTGATGAAAGCCATGAAAATATATTGCCCTAATTGTTGTCTTTCTATCCCAGAAGCATTTCAAGTGGTCAGCCAGGGTGCAAAACTCTGCATCTTGACCTTTATCATGTGTAACCTCTGGTTCCCTGAGGGGCCGTCCTGTTTAAGAGAAGGTGGTTTTCGCTCAGTGATCAACATCTCCCATTGCAGTCTGCCCCCACACCTGCTTATTCTGCAGGTTTTTGGTTTATCAAATAAAAACTCTGCATTCTCCCACACTCTTCAAAGCCTGTGGAATTTAAACTCTCAGGCAGGTAAAAGGGCTGTTTCCTGTGTTTTCTGTCACTTCCCTGCCTGAACATGTTCAGCTGCCATCACCGTCACCAGCCACCTGCCCTTCCAGAAAGTAAGCAAATGGATCAAGGTGTCAAAGGCAACAGGACCTGAAAGAATTCTAAAGTCACAGAAGAGGCCAAAGCGTCACGATTTCCTCACAAGAATACTGGTCCCAGCTTCCTAAGCTGACCAAAAAATAATCTGTTTCACCATGCTCCCTGACTTTGACACTGGAAATCAGTAATTTTACTTTTATCTTTAAAGGAAGAAAAATACGATGCCTAGAAAAATAAGATGAAAAATGAGGTTAGACCTGGTACCTGGTTAAACCTGGTACAAGTGTGTAGCCTAGAGTCCCCCAAGGCGACGAATCCACATGGATCCAAGGCATCTTCCTGCAAGATCCACCAAGGCCTTGCTACCTACAACAGCAGAAATGGCCTGGGAGGACCGGCTACTTCTACCCTCCCCATCTCTGACATGGGCTCTAAAGGGGCTGCTCCAAAGCTGTCAGGGACCCTAATCCATGTTTCCGGACAGAGAAACACCTTCTGTTTCTCGGTCTGGGGATGTCATTCTTGGAGCAGTCACCTGTGAAGCCCTGGGTGTCCTTCCTGCATGTCACTCGCTGAAAGGACAGTGCCCCTCACAGCCACAGCCATCAGGGTACTGAGCCCCACACTCCTGGACACAGGGCTGCAGCCCTGGGAAGGTCTGGCTGCTCGCCCATAGGAGCTGCAGGAGGATGGAGGTGACAGTCGCTGAAGTTTCACGTTTCCCAAGGACACTGGCTCCTCACTACTCCTGCTACCAGCAGTGCTGTGGGCAGGGGCACCTGGCCAGGGTGGGGAGCGACCACAGTGGGCCCCGGGTACCTGGGCTTCAGGTTTTCTTTATGAAAACACACATTGGGGGGCGTTGCAGGTTAGGGTTCATCAATACTTTGCTTAAGGAAGATCAGAGGCCCAAGGCTTGCGGTGAAACTGTCTTTCGTTTCAAATTACTTTCTAAAACCACTGCACCCATTTGCACCCTTTTGAACATCAGAAAACAGAATCTCTTGTTGCTTTCAGGCTTCTACAGGCTGGGCCAAATGAAGGAGTTTTTTTGTTTTTCTTTTTTTGTTCCTTTACTAAAAAGGAAACAACTCCTGCTCTGTAAACCAGAAAGGTTTTCCCTGGTACCTTCCTAGCTCCTTGTTGGAGCAAATACCTTACCCTATAAGAAAGTGTTTACATTTAAGCTTAAGAAAGTAATTGTATCTAGTTTCAAGGCACATTTAATTACTGTGAGTAACTCCATGCCAGATTCTTAATACTGTATTAAAGCCACGTCCTAAATATAAGTAACACAGTGATCTTATCTTACTTTGGAGGACTTTTTTTTTGGTAGTACTGTGGATTGAACCCAGGTCCTTTGTGCTAGGCTACATTCCTTTATTTTATTAATTTTTGAGACAAGGTCTTGGCCAGGCTGGGCTCAAACTTTGGATCCTCCTTCCCGGCCTCCCAGGTTGCTGGTATTACAGGATGAACCACCCCATCTGGACCAGAGTGACTGACTTCTTCAGCCTTATGAAGATCAATTGTTCTTTCCTTCAAATCACTTAAGCCCATGGGCATTCTAACAATAGTGTAGTTTCTTGATTGATTAAAACCTTTTTATTTAAGAATCTAATCATAACTGGTTGAACAATGCCATTTTAATTACACTGAAGATAGAATCCAACTAAAGGCCTAAAGCTTACAGCACAAGCTGAGTGGAAAGGGTCCTTTTTTCTCTAGATAGTTGTGCGCCCCTTTCAATGACCTTTTCAGTGTCATTCAGCAAGAAGACCCACTCCCCACAGTGTCATCTGGGGACTGTGCAGATGAAGGGTGGCCTGACACAACCCACTGCACCCCGAGCCTGCGTCCTAGGATGCTAGGCATGGCAGGCCTGGACGGAGACAGCAGGTCCCTCTTGGGGGCTCTGGACCTTCTCCCCCTGCCCTGCATCCTGCCTGGAAGTCAGCATCGCACAGTGCCAACTCAGCTGTCAACCTAGGCTCTACCTCCAGAAGCCACAAGGATGTCATCTGTGGAGCAAAAAACATTGTCACCTTCTTTTAACGTCTCCCACGCATGTTCATTAAGTGAACCTCCTGGGTTAGGTGGGTAGTTTCTCATCATCCCCGGTACCGTTACGGGGCAAGTGTGGGTACTGTTGTCTCTTAATGCTTCATTTTTCAAACACATGCAAAAAAATCAAAGGTGTTCTTTAGATCTTTTCCCATTCTCCTCCTCCCAGTCAGCTCTGAATACCCTTCCTAAATCTCAGGCTCACTTGAGCATTACAAAAGAAACACAGCAAAGTTTGAGTAAATGGATTAAAAAGAAGGAAAAAAAAAAAAAACCCCAACAAACTCTAAAATCCTTTCATCTAGGAGAATCAATGTCTTTTGTCTCCAGAAATCTGAGGTCATCCAAGGAAGGACCTGACAGTCGATTTTCAAATGCAATGATGCAAAACGTCAGCAGCAGGGCTTTCAAAACTATGACAAAGGGTGAGGATGGACACGAAACTCATGTCTTCGGAATGGATTCAATGAAAATGAGGCTTGTTTTTCTGCATATGAGTTTAAATATAAAAGCAGAAAGTTCATAGACTTACATGCTTCTTACTCCTTTTTAGAATTCAAAGAGTTACAAAAACAATTTCTGTTAAGTTCAGCTTCTTGCACTGGATAATCTGTTGCCCTGTCTGCTCATTCGGGCACCCTTCTGTGCTTTCCAAACATTTAAACTCCACTACACTTCAATAACCCTGGGAAGAAAGAGAAAAACAGCTCCTGAGACCCTGTGCTGCTCTCAGGCACCAAAGTGAGACCGGACACTTGCCAGGCCCCCTCAGGAACCCTCACCTGTGACAGCGTGGTCCCCCTGACCAAAAAATCGAGTCAAAATGCTCCCCGATTTTGTTCAACATCTAACCTAATAATCACTGACTACTCGCAGCTCCCGGAACACTCTGCTGGATTCACAGATGTGTGGGGAGACGCAGGCTAGAACTTTCTTTCCAGTCTCTGAACTCGGTTGGGCAGACCTCATCTGGTCCTTTTCCTTCTTAGGTTTCATAACACAGAAGAAAAAAGGTAAGAAAGAGAGAATAAAGGCACCGTTACCTGTATCAGATTATTTTTTTGTCTTAAAAAAAAAAAAAAAACCAAAAACCCCACTAGCAGAACAAGAGAACTGCACCGAGTCTTCTGGGTTTTAAGGCCTGCAGGGCAGCGAGGGGGCTCTTCGCGGCTGGGCCTCCGGTCTTCACTACCTCCCCTCGCCCGCCGCCGGGCAGGGTCCCAACAACACCCCCAAAGGCTCTGCCTGATCCAACAAGCCACAAAGCTCTCCGCAGGCGCTGTTCCGAGCGGCATCCTGCAATTCTAAGGAGGCTGCATCTGGGCAGGACATTTTCTTCCAGAACACTGGTTAGATTCTGCTAAAACTGGGACAAGGAAAGCATCAGGCCCGGCAGAGGAGACCAAGAGGGCGTGTCCTCGCCCCGGGCACGGCTGACCGCCCGCTCCCTCCTGGGGACACGGAGGGCGCCCGCACCCCTGGGGGGTCACAGCCCGGCGCTGGCCGGCCGCACTCACCCGACCCGCCTCCGCTAGGCCCGGCGACTCCCCGGCTCGCAGTCAGGGCTTCGCATCCTCCAGCCACGAGGCCCCGACCTCCACGCAGCGCCGGCTGCTGGCCCTGGGTCGCGCCCGGCACCCCAACTCGCTCTGCGCCCGCCTCAGACTGCAGAGCGCAGGACCCGGCGGCCGCGAGGAAGCGGGCGAAAGGCCGCGGGCTCCCGCCGGCACCCTCCCACGGTGCCGCGCCCAGAACCTGTCGTGCGGGTTAGGGTTAGGGCCGGGCCGGGTCGGGTCGGGTCGTCGAGTCGGGTCGGGTCGGGTCGGGGGCGCCGGGCGGGGATCGAGCCCCGCGGCCCGGCAGGGGAGACCGCCCTGCCTCGGCGTCCGCTCACCTGCGCGCCGCGGCGCCCTGGGCTCCGGAGCTCGGCCAGCACAGCGGAGCGGCCGCTGCCACCTGCGGCGCCTTTTAACCGCGTCCTCCCGCCTCTGCCTGACGCCGCGGGGCCGGGGGCCTCGGGGCGGGGCGCGGGCCGGGCCGGCCGGGCAGCTCCGGGCGGGCGCGGGCCCGGGTCCCCAGGCGCGGTGCGGGCGGCGGGGTGCGCGCCCCTCCGGCCCTGGCCGCGCCCCAGCCTTCCCGCCTCCCCGAGCACCCCGGGCCGCCTCCCGGGGGTCCCTCGGGTCCCGGCGGGGCGTGGGGAGCAGCCAGGGCCCGGCCCGAGGTGCCGGCCGACCTGCGCGGCGAGGGGCGCGCGACGCGCTTGCTCCACAAAGTGGCTCGAGGTTAAACGTGACGTGGGGTCGGGTTCCGTCCCGAATGGGGCCCCTGAAACGTCTCCAGGTCACGGGGCTTGAGCTAAAGGATGTTAAGTCCCACCTTCGAAACACTCCAAGCGCAAGGTTCTCAGGGAGCCAGGCAAGCTAAGGACTGCTTGGCAGGGTGGTGGAGGCGGGGTCCCTTGAACGGCCTTGAACACAGAGGTGGGAAAACACGAAGCCGACACGAGCTACGTGGAGCCCCGTCCCCAGTTCCTCCTCTGACTTCCACAGTGGATCTCAGTGTATCTGTCTCTTGGTTCCCTCCATCTGGCAAATGGTTTTTCTAAGCAGATTGTAAACTTTTCTGGGTGTGATAACCAGCTCAGGCTTTTCATTCTTGCGTTCCTGCAGTAAGAAAGGCGCGCGTAGTTGGTGCTGTTTGTTCCATCACCATGACTGCATTCTTTAATAGAGCTCAACCAGCACAGCAAATCTTGGAAATGGCTTTTGGTTTTCCACAGTGTGCTGTGATGTCACTCGGGCAGCTGGTTCCTCGCAAAGACAGCAAAAGGCTTTGTGAGGCTGTGCATTTCGGACTGGACCCGTGGAAGCTGCCCTAGGGCCCAGTCAGGACAGGAATGTCAGTACTGCTCAGGAGGCCCACCTCAGCCCAGCAGGGTATCTCTTTCCTTGTTTAGATTATCAACAGAAGCCAAGGTGTGGGCTTTTTATCTTCTCATTTGTATCTTGACATTTAATATCATTGTTCAGTCTTCACTGCTCTGGTCGTTGTGGCAGAAATTAAATGTGGACTTCATGAAATTGCAGATTTGATGAGATGTTCACTGCTAAACTGAAAAATGGATTAAACATGTTATTCTTAGGATCCAAAGGCATCTGCAGTGGTGAGCGGATTGTTCTGAGCTCATGTGCCAGGCAGGGCAGCACTCAGGAGCAGTTATTGCTTTGCTGTGCACTGAGCAGTGTCACGATATTCTGAAATCAAGAAGTGGACGGTCCTGCTTGTAAGTGGTGACAAGAAATTTGCCAGAGCAATACCTTCTGTCTGCATGTTAGTGATGACATCACATGTTTTATAGGTCTAGGATGTGTGAAGTGGGGTCTGCAGTCCAAGAAGGTCTGAGGGAAGGGCAAATGTGCTTTTTTGAAAATCTCTGCCTTTTCTAAGTGGCCTCTCTCACCTTTACATGGAGGAGAGACCCTACCTGCTGCCTGGCCTGCCTGGCCTGTGCCCTCCCCTCAAGAGGGACCTGCAGCTGGTCACCCAGGCCTTCAGCTCCAACTTGACAGGGTCTTAGAGGCCCTGAGGAGAGTGTGCACCTTTGACATAAAAGTGCACTCAGTAAAAAGCCCATACGGTAGAGACCTACGCGGTAGGGTATCCCTCAGCAGGGGTTTGTCCGATGGCTCCCTAGGGATGGAACTACGTGTTTTGAGAGAGAGACCCCGGAGAACCCCCTTCTCATCTCATTCTCCCTGTCAGAGGCACATGCTGGAACTAGCACAGCCTGCTCCTGATGTTCACTGGCTGGGGCAGGGCCTGTCAGGTCTCCCACTTCTCACATTGTGAGCCCCTCTCCTCCCCCACACTTCAGGGCGAGGGGTGCATCATCACCATTGGTCTTCTAACATGGGAGTGATCTTTCACCCAGTTTAGTCAATGAGTTTTTATGCCAGCAAGGACTTATGAATGTTTATTTTATGCTTCAGGTGCAGCACAATATTAAGTTCGTTATTTTGCCGTTCGACTTTGGCTGGTGACAGCTTTCATTTGGCTCCTTTCCATTTTCAGATCCCCCCCGGCCCCACACTTTCTGTCTGCCACTGTAAGCTGCTCCAGGCTCATCCAGCCCACTCTCCACCCTGGAATCAGCTGGTCTGTAGAGCCCTGCACTGCCGCACCACTGTACCTGCTCTTCTCCATCTTCTTACTTGACCAAGATAACTTGCTGAGAGACTCCCTGGCTGTGATTTCCAGCATAATGCATTCTGGAGTCGTAGCAGGTATTTCTTGCAGGAATGAATTCAAGAAGTATTTGTTGAGTGGATTAACTGCAGATGCTACCAGAAGCCATCTGCCTGATGCAGATGAGAAGAGTAGTTCCACCATGTTTTACAGTCAGTCAGATGCCTTCTGTGCAACAGAATGGAAGCTGTACAGAAGTATAGAGCATTGTGCAGGCTCTCAAAATGCTTAGGCCATGAGGGAAAGGAGCTGCCACATAAGAGAGGCACCCCACCCCACTCAAGCCAGAGGCATCCTCAGTGAGGGACAGAAAATAGCACCATGGCTATCCACAGTGCAGGCCCAGAAACCAAGCCATGACCCAGAGAGGCTGGGTGCTCTGCCGCAATGCCACTGCTGCAGCGGTTTCTGACAGGACACCTGCCTGCTGTGCCCTTGGTGGGAAGGCCAGTGGAGAGGCCAGTGTAGTCCCGTACCAGCCTGCTGCTGACCTCAGGGTCAGTGTCCTACTGGGAGGATACCACGTGAGGCTCTTTCATCAACCATGGCGGCCTGAGAACTGAATTGCTCTGAGAAGAGTCTGGTATTATCACTCAAAGGCAGGGTCATTCCCAGACAAGGGCTGGACTCTCCTTTTGACCGCTTGATTCTGAACTGCACGCAACGCTTAGCTCTTAAAGTTTCACCTTTCATACTCGAATCAAAGTATGCCATTGGGGTTGAGATTGTTCTAATATGTATATATAATTCTTTAATTTGTGTTTACCTTATTTTTTTTTATTTTTTGCTTTCCAGTACTTCAAAGGTTTCTTCACTAATGTACCAGTAACTTCTTCAGGTCAATATACGTTCGTGGGTGGCATTTTTGTGTCTTTAAAGGAAGGTGCTGTGCTGACTTAGTGTGACTCTTCCTTCTGGTTATAGAAGAGTGTATCTTCTATCACACGCGATATCACTTCACAACACAACGGTGAATGAGACAGAACAGCAACTATTCTGCAGGGGTTGGGGTGAGGTGGAGATTCTGGGGGAAGCCTCAGTGCCTGGCTGTGGAGCACAGTGGCTGGAGCATCCGGGAATGGCAGGTGGCTGCTGGGTGAACATGGTGTGTGGGTGAGTGTGTGTAAGGAGACAGGCTGATGACTGCAGGGGAGAATCCGTCCTGAGGGACAGAAATCTGGGATCAGAACACCAGTTGCAAGTCAGTACTGAGACTCACTAGGACATGAGGACCCTGGATGGGCAGCAGTTGGCTGAAACTGAACATGGAGACATTCATGAACTTTGTGCTCATTAAGAGCAAGTGTGTTCTGACTGCTTGTGGTAGCTCCAATGTTCTTCCCAAAACTCACTGCCACGAGAGTAGGAAGAGCGGGGAACTTTCAGAGGTGATTGGGACCAGAGGCTCCTTATAAGAGGGTGCGCTGGGTCCCACTGCACTCCTCAGCCACCTGTTTCTGATCCACGCTTAGAAGTGCTTAGTCCCCGTCTTGGGATCAGAATCGTGACACCTGCCTGCATCTGGATGTGGGCCTTGAGGGCTCCGGGACTGTGAGCCAAGGGACGTGGGTTAGTCTTGGTCCCACAGCAGGTGGTCCTTCTGCAAGTTGCACAGAATCTCTTCAGATGCGGTCACAGCCGTTATGCCTTTGCCCGGTGCAGATGGTTTCCATGAGGTGGATGCTCTGTCCTATGCTGACGGGGTTTGCCACATTGCAGACCATTCATTTTGTCACAAACTGCAAACACAGTGGCAGTGAGAGCCTACTGCGCAAGGGGCCCATAAAGCAGCCTCTGGGGCTGCGGGAGGACGGGAGGCTAAATAAAGTGGCCTTCCCGGTGGCAGTGCAGGGAACCAGAAGCAGAGGCACATCTGGTGCAGTCACCACCGGGAAGGGACACCGCTGAATCAGACTGGATCTGCCTCCTGAGCTGGCCCAGTGGTGCATGCTCCAGCCCAGCAGACACACTGACCAAAGGGGCCAACTCAGGCTGCTGCGGTGGTGACCCTGCCCTGGGCTGCAGCTAAATGTTCCTGTGACATGCAGTGGAAAGCTGGTGGGACCTGGGAGATCCAGATTTGAGGGTCTCTGCTCAGCTAGACGTTCCCTGATTACCCCTGTTCCTCTGTTCCCAAGTACCCAAAGCCCCCAACTTCCTTTTCCAGCCTGAGATCAGCTTCTGACTCTCCCTGACACCCCCCAACATGTCACAGGCCTCCCGTCCCGCCTTACCTCCAGCGCACACTGCTCTGCCCCCTTGCAGGTCGCTCCTCAGCTCCTCACAGGTGTGGTGACAGAGCCCCTTATTTGTCTTTGTACTGCTGCCCTTCTGAACCCCACCACGGCCACCTCACACTGAAGGCCGTTACTGCCACACAGCCGCTCTGTGTAGTGTGAGTGGGACTGAGCCAGGGTACAGCTGCCGGGTGGAAGAGTGAGTTCTCCGAGCTGAATTCAGGCCCAGGGATGGCTCGGTTCTTCAGTCCTCACTTAACGAACCATCTCACCTAGTACAGGCAGCAGTCTGTCCGTCAGTCGCAGCCACTGGGCCTCAAGCACAGGGACTGTGGACTCAAACATGCAAAATGCTGTCCTGTCACGGGTCAGTGGCCTCTGTATGTCACTTTCGCTTTCTGTCCACATGCAGGGTGGACCGACACTGTCGCCCTGGAGTTCTTGGAAGCTGTTCCGGCTCTGGGCTGCCTGGTTCTGGGACCTGGTTCTGAAAGCCGAGGTGTGGGGAGGCAGTGGTGGCCGTGCTGACGGGTCAGGACAGTTTTCTAGGGTGGCGCATAGTGAGCCAGAGCTTTCATGGGATGCAGAACCCAGAGGAAGTGTGTGTGTGTGTGTGTGTGTGTGTGTGTGTGTGTGTGTATGTGCAGAGAACTCATCTTAGGGAACTGGCAAATCAGACATCTGCAGGACTGGCTGGGGACCGAGGGAGGAGCTGGTGATTCAGGGCAGACTAGAGCACTCTGGTACAGAGGTCCCTCATCCTCAGGGACCTCAGGGCGCAGCCTGCCCTCCCGTGGACTTCAGCTGGCTGGGTGAGTTTCGCCCACGTCAGGGAGGACACGCTGCTCCACTTAGATGGAACGGTTAGTCACAGCTAAGAGGTGCGGCACAGGGCCGTCTAGACTGGCGTGGGCCCAAGCATCCGGGTGCCATGGGCTGTCAAGGTCAGACTTAGAATTAACCTCGGAGTGCCTTGCTGCTCCCTCAGCCAGTGCTCACTGATCCTCACCACATGCGAAGCTTCCGGGTCCGCAGCCCCCTAGAGGCAGCGAGGAGACTTGTTAGACTGATTTTGTGCATGCAAAGGAATACCCACAGTCACTGATCTGTTACAGGTGATTATACAAGTCATTTCAATTTTTTCCTGCAACTAATGTGGTACATTTATTACATAAAAAGATTAAGAATAAACTAGAGGCTTGGACTATTTGAGTATGATTATCTGTATCATTTTTTCTAATAATAAGACTATATTGGAGATACTTGCTTATGAGTATGCCCTTTGTAAATAAATTACCTGCCAATAGATGGCAAATTCATTAACTACGAAAGCATCCTTTTAGAACAATGAACTTTTTGTATTGAAATTTTTTCTTTCCCTGAGACAGGGTCTTGCTGTGCAATTCAGGCTGGCCTTGAATTCATGACAATTCTCCTGCCTCAGCCTCCAGAGTGCTGGAATCACAGGTGTGCACTACCAAGCCCAGCACTGAGTTTTGTTTGCTTCTTTTCCTTGTTCTTTCTCGAAGGGATCAGTCTCACTGTAGGACAGCTGACAGTGTCAGCATGTGTGTGTCACCAGGGTGTGAGCTGCACACGGCACAGTGGGGTTGGTCTGAACCAAAGACCTGAAGACAGGAGCTAAGGATGCTGGTGCAGCAGTCAGTAAAAAACGGCCACATATTTTAAGTCAACCCTGGATTCTCCTCTGTTTCCAGGTGGTGTGTCTGTGTGTGTCTGTCTGTGTGCAAGATTGCTGGTGTGGAACCTGGGCCTTGCACGGGCCAGGCAAGTGCCCTATCCCTGAGCTGCACCCACGCTCTCCAGGTAAGCTGTGTCAGTAACCCACTTTCCACCTCTGTTGTGAGGTCAGAGCTCTTCTCAGGGGAGACTTCCACACTTGAGATTTCTCTTACATCAGTCACAGTACGTTTACTGCATGGTGCTGGGGTTCATTGGGTGGCCTTGGTCCTTGGCTCTGGGGTCCTCACTCAATCTGCAGCGAGTCTGAAACTGCTCTGGCAGTCGGTTCTGGGTGTTGGTGGGAAATGAGTGTAAGAATGGGGGAAGAAGCTGAGGGACTGAGAGCTGAGCTTCCCACACAGCCAGGTTCCTTATTTAAAATTTTCCTTAAACATTCCAGCAAATATGGCAGCATGATGGTCCATGTCTGTAATCCTAGATACTCAGGAGGCTGAGGCAGGAGGATCACATGAGCCCAGAAGTCGGAGGCCGCCTAAATAACATCAGTGAGACCCTGCCTCAAAAACAAAACAAAGCAAAAATAATAATAATAAAAAAAGAAAGAAGAAAGAAAGTCCCAGTACCAAGAATGCCTTCTTTCTCTTGGCTTCCTTGTCAGATCCAAATGTCCTTCAGCGATGAGAATCTAATATTACCTTCTTACATGTATTAATACCGCATAGGTCAGGCATTACTTCTATTCTCCAACCATCTCAAAAGGAGAAGTGAGCAATGCCCTCCCCACTTTATAAGGGGGCTGTTGCAGCTTTAAGAGTCTCCAAGATGCAGAGCTGAGACCCAGGGTGAGTTGCCCTCCCCCCCAATCAGTCCCCAGCCGCGTCTGTTGGAAACAGCTATCACATCTTCCATAGGTGAGTGAGTAAACTGTGGTACACTACAATGGAGTATTGTCCAGCAAATAAAAAATGTGGTATGAACCAGGAGAAGACGTGGAGAAATCTTAGGAAGAAGAAGTCAGCCTGAAAGAGCTACATACCATGCGATGCTAGCAATATGTGGCATTCTGGAAAACTTAGCAATCGGAAGATAGCTAGCTGCAGAAGGTAGGGGGAGGAAGAATGAGCAGGTGGACAGTGAGATGATCTAATAATGGTGGACACCGGTCATCGCTCACTTGTGTAAATGGTACAGGAAAGGTACCACACCGAGAGAGCTGCAGTGTAAACCTGGGGCTTAGTGAGTAATAATGTATCCACGTTGGCGAGCCAGTTGTGACAAGTATGTTCCACTAATGCAAGATGTTAGCAATAGGCAGATGACAGGAGGAGGACATGGGACTTTCTACTATGGGCCTAAGTTTCTGTAAATGCATAATGTAAATGTAAAACAGTTGTAAATGCAAAACAGCTGTAAAAAATAACATCTATTAACTTAAAAAGCCTCTGGTTCTTTAGCTTCAGGTCTTATGTTAATTAACAGCAGATTATTCCGCAATGAATACCCTTCATATATAAACAAAATAAACATGTTCTCTATTACATTGTTTCCTGCATTTTCTCTTTGAACAATTCAAGAAATACAGTGGTACTTTGGTTCACGAACAATTCTTTCCATGATTCTGGTCACAAACTGAATTGAACAAGAACGGAATCAAATTCAGTGGATAGTACAGTGTTGACCTTATGGGTAAATCTGGAATCATGGAAAGAATTAGATTCATGCACCAAGGTGCCACTGTGTTTGAACAGTTAGATGCTTTATGCTTAGCTCGTATTAGATAAATGGGTGAGTGAGGCAGGCTGAACTAGGAAGCATCAGGCTGCTGTCTCTCTGGTTTTCAGAACCTGCCAATAATTGTTGTTCCTCCTTTCACTTCTGTCTTTGTAGCGAAGGCTGCTCTGGGCTCCATAAACAGGGTTGTATAATTACAGTTTCCATGTTGTAGCTTGTTAGAAGGGTGAGGGCTTCATATTTTTATTGCAAATCAACAAAGAAAAGGAAGCAAGCAGACCCAGAGACAGGCCATTCTAAAACTTCTGTCAACATTCATACCCCACTTTTAAGATAGAATTTCCCAAAGCACTGACTGTTTTATGAAGAGCAAAGTGCATTCAGGCAGTTATCCATCTATGAAATGCTCATTCAAGAAAAGAGCTCAGAGGCAAGCCAGGAAATGGTACTTCGATTCACAATCTAATTCTTTCCACAGTTTTGTGCAGAGAACTGTATCAAATTTTCCCACAAGAAAATTGAACACGAAACCCAATAATTGAATTTGATTCTTTCCCAATCTGGTTTGTAATCAGGATTGTGGAAAGAATCAAGTTTGTGAACCGAGGCATCACTATCTTTGCAGAATCCAACCTGCCTTCGGCTCAGTTGCTGAACCCTCTCTGCCCTTTGTAAGATTTTACCTACACTACTTATCCTCTTAGGTGTCTGTGTCAAAGCCCTAGAACTGAAAGAATTCAGGCAGATGTGGTCCTCTGCTTTAGCGTATCTCATTGTTTCTTTTTTGAATCAATCTAAAACTTGGCCCAGCTAAGACAATTGCCTGCGTAATCTCTTATTTCAGAGTCAGGAAAGATCAGGCTTTCTGAAAGCTGATGACATGGATTATGTCCCAGAACTGGTGTTATTCCAGCTGGTGTTGGGAAAGCAATGTAGCATGGTTTGTGTTTGATGCCCCCAAGCCTCATGCAGTCATGGAGGTGGCTGAGTTTAGTGTTTGTGATTGGGTCTTTGTCTAGCGCTGGGATTGGTGATGTGAATGCTGTACCTGTCCAGGAGCAGAGCTGGCATACAGTATAAGGGAGGGAAGGGGGATACTTTACTCCTTTTGCTCTTCTAATTCTTGTCTCTTTCCACTGCCATAAATGCTGCCCCTGTGCCACGCCACCCAGCCTTGAAGCCAGCTGAGTATGGACTGAAACCTCCACAAACCATAAACTAAACACACCTTTCCTTCCTTCATTTTGGGTGTCAGATATTTTATCTAAGCAATGAGAGAAAAGTAACCAAAACAGCATGGGTCACTCCACGAACACTCCTGAGTTTGGGGGGCTGCACACTGACAGACAGGTCAGGAGCACTGTGAACCACTGTTTGCCTACATGAACAGGGCGAGGGTGTCCCACAACAGATGAAGAGTGAGGAGCTTGATGTAATCTGTCTCTTGGGTGCCAGTTTCCCATGAGAGCTAGGGAACGGGAAGGCACAGGAGATAAAGACTTGGAAGCTCCTCACAATGCTCTTTTTCATTTTGCAGCAAGGAGATGAGGAAGAGAGAAAGGAGATGCCTGATGAGTAGTAAATAAGAAGGAAAGTTGGAGAATTATTCCGTTCACTCTCTCTTCTGAGTCCTCCCTGCCCACCGCTGGCCAGAAACTCCGTGACCCTTTGCTCCCGTCCTTGCCCTCCATCAGCCACTGCTAGATCGTTTTTCCGATTTTTCTTGGTTCTATTCTCTGTCTTTTTGACAGCTTGATTCAGATCCTGGTTAATTTTTTCAGTCACGTTCTTCAGTCAGCAGCTGCATGTGGAGTGTCGGTGGGAGTGGGACGTCCTGGACATGCTATTCTGACAGTACTGCCCTGAGGTGGGGACTTGGCCACAGCACCACAGGCCAGAGGAACATGTGGCCAACAAGCACAGGACACTGAGGCTTGCAAAAGGCACGAGAGGCCAGCGAACCAGCCTGGGGGGTTCAGGGAAAGTGTCCCAGAAGCTCTGATGCTCAATGACACCGAAAGAAAGGTTCCTGAAGGCAAAGAGGACATTAGTTGCTAAGCACAGGATGAGCTGACTGGCTGAGGTGTCTCCTCCCCTAGTCTGCTGCTGGAGGTGCATTTCTGAGACGGCCTCGTGCCCTCTCTCCACGCTGGCACCCTGCATTGCCTCTGTGTGGTCAGCAGAACAACGTGCACACCTCTTAGCACGTCCAATGCCTGGAAACTGACCTCCTGCCTATACCTCCCAGATGACGGGACACAGCGCTGTCACACAGCATCTTTGTGCTGTTCCTTCAACTTATATTTTGCTTTTACCATCTTGTAAAGTCATTCTTGTTCTCAGGGCTCAGATCAGAGGTTGCTTTTCTTGATTCTCATTAATAATGAAAAATTTCCCTCTGACTGCCTGCTTACAAAATTATTTAGGACTCAGATAATTTGGCTGTATGTTATATGGGCTTATTTGTTTGCTTTTTGAGTAAAGACCAAAGACAGAAACATCATCAGTACATCTACCAGCACCGAGCACCAACACCGAGCACCTAGGACCCAGCACTAGCATTAGCATCCAACAGCCAATACAGAGCTCGGTATGTACGAGGGTTTCAATGAGTATTTATTAAATTGAACTGAGTACTCGTTTTCCCAATGCAATTAATGACTCTAAAGTAAATGCTTTCTGTACTAAAAAATCATCTCTGTAAACTTACAATTCTAGGGGCATAAGATTTCAGTCAGCGCTTTTGCGTGTAATTGAAACTTACTCTCTTATGATTGCTGACACCACAGTCTGCATGACTTAGTGTGGTGTAAGGAATGACATTATTTGCTAACTTGGTGCTGTGTGAACAGCACTAGTGAACCAACACAAGCTCCATTCTGCAGGGGAAAATGATGTGCAGATAAAGACACTGTTTCTGAGCCCAGGTGTCCAGGGCAGCTGACCTACTGCAGCAGGGGAGATGTGGATGGCAGGGGAGACTCCTCTCAGGAGGCAGTGCATTCTCACAGCGTTCTTGGTGGAAGGGTAGGCACTGTTTGTGTCAGTACCTAGTCAATTGTCAGTATTCTACAGTTCATCAAGAGCTTTTACAAGCTTGATCTCACTGGGAAACAATTCTCAGCAGGAGATGAAGTAGGTGCTGTTTTCATTTTATAGGGGAGAAGCTAAGGTTCAGGAAGGTTCATTTGTTTCTCCATGCAACAACTATTTATAGGGGACTTGCCCAGGCAGGAGAGGGGCTTGGACCCCCATGCCCCTGACCCGAGGAGCTTGGGGAGTGGTGGCAGTGTGTGTTGCTGTACACTGGAGCTGCTAGAGATGACTTGTGGTTTTCCCATTTTGGCTTGGCAGGGGCGTTGATCGTCAGGTGAACAGGCAGACTCAGCACTCTTCACCGCCTTCCAGGAACCCAGTGCATGTTAGATCTACAGCATGACTTCATGGGATGTTTCTGAGTTGAACGTTTTCATTTTCTATCTATTTAGGCCGTCACTTTTTTAAGACCAATGAGAGTTCAGCTACTTTGCTGTTTTTGGTCTGTATTTAACTGGACAGCTGCTGTTCAATTTTATTTTATTTTATTTTATTTGAATGAATGGAGTGCTTAGGCAGCACTACTGGAGGAATAGCCAAGAGTTAGTGGCTGCTTGTGAGCTCCTGTCCAATACACACCGAATGATTTAACACATCGACGTAGCAGAATGCTCACAAGGGTGTCTTGTCAGAGCCAATAAACTCTCAGTCTAGCAAGGCCTCCTCTGCAGGGCGTGTGTGGGCGGGTGAGCCCCGGGTGCCTTGCAGGTCTGCTCCCATTAACCAGGGCTGGTCTCCTTCCCTGAATGCTTCAGATGCGAAGAGAGGAGGGTGTCACTGGTAGGTGTGGTGGCTGTGCTACCTCAGAAGCCCTGTTCCCGTACAGAAGCCAATAGGGGACAAGCCAGAGGGGACCACCTCACCACGTCAGGCTCTCATCAGGCCAGTCCAGATGCTGGTTACCACATGGGGGGTTCTGCCCTCGGCCACACCCTCTCAAGACAAGTTAGGCACCCATCTTCATCTGTCTCCAGAAGGGCTGAGCCAGCAGTTAACCACAGGGCAAATTCTCAGAAAGAAGGGGAAGGATTCTGCTCATGCCTTGCCTACCGCCTTCCTGGCCTAGTTGAGACCATCTGCCTTTCTCTCAGGTCTCAGCAAAGGCATTGGGGCCCTTGAGCTCTCTGAAACTCTTGAAAGGACACCATTCCATTTAAGAAATGTGCTAAGCTCTTGGTGCAGTGCTGGCCTTGCTTAGGACACGCTACCACATCCCCATGTTGCAAGGTGACCCTGCACCCTTTGGATGATGTGGACCTGATGGCACAGAGATGTTGGGCCACAACACAGGAGTGATCTGCTGTGCTTCCACCTATGGAGCTGATGGCCATTCCTGAACCACTGCCCCACACACTGTCTGGCAGGAACTCTCAGAGCCCTGTGGGAGAGCGGGGAGCACAATTGCTGGTCGTGGTGGCGATGCTATGCCTGCCCCAAAGAGCACACCTGGCACTTTAGCCCCTGACTCGAGCCAGTCCAGCAGGGTGTAGCTTGACTGTTCTCACTCAAGGGTAGTGATCCTGCAAGCCTGTTGGGCCTTCCCTCGCTTAGGTGTGTCCCCTCAGCACCCAGCATGTGTGTCTACGGAGCAGAGACAAAGTGGGTGGTGGGGATGAGTAAGGCCTTTCCTGCAGCAAAACCTGCACTGGTGAGTTGTGAGTCCAGGGATCCCCATCTATCTCTGTAGGACAGAGGCGTGCAGTCCTTAGGG